TGTACACACATTTTTTTCGTCATGACTTGTGTGTTTTCTTAGATATTCATTGAATATTGTTTTGCAATTTTTGCTTTTATTTATTTTAGTCGTGTTGTCGAGTTCGAAATAACTTTCGTGATATTATTTTTCTAGTTGTCACTAGGAATCTAGATTCTCTAAAAAAATCGCTGCCAATAATGCTTAAAATTTGTTTTTAATTCAAGTTTTGAATTGAATTAGCTCGCTTATATGTGCTAATTTAAAAGTAAATATTTAAAAATTATTATTTATTTAAATTTCAAAGGATTTTTTATGCACCAAATTTAATATTTTATTTTTTACTTTTGGGGGTGGTGCTTAAATCCGCCTATGCTTGCTCCAGTCTCATCAAAGCAGTGGTCCATATGAAATTTCAAAGGATTTTTTATGCACCAAATTTAATATTTTATTTTTTACTTTTGGGGGTGGTGCTTAAATCCGCCTATGCTTGCTCCAGTCTCATCAAAGCAGTGGTCCATATGACATCAGGAAAGTCTTTCACATCCTAACAGTCTGCATTTTTCATTATTTTTTTTTAATTTTATTGATCTTTTGTCTATTATTTTTGGACAAGAAGGCATTTTCATCCAATATATTGGCTATTTGTCATAAATAAAATAAATAATGCTTTAGATTAGGTCAAAGTGAACTAATACTTCCAGGAATATAAATGCCATTGTATTATTTTGTCAGTGCTGTTGCCAATCTATGGTTAGCTTCATTTTATTTTTATTTTATTTTTTCTTAAATTGAACATATTTACATTTTTTATATGAAGTTAGTATGAAGCTTAATTAGTGATAGGAATTGTGAAAAAAACATTTTTACATCCCCTATCCATGTACAGATTCAAGGCAAATTCTATCTTAGAATAGATCTGCTGGGAGAGGGAGCTAAATGGCGTAGAACCACCGGTCAAGAGATCTATTCTCCTCTTCTTGTGGCTTTTTCAGAACAGGTTAATAAACAAGTACTATATACTGAAACTGTTATTTTGTTGCTGATAACATGAATTTTAATTTTGTTTTTTTAGGATGGGGGCAACTGGGTAAATTCTCATGTACCAAAATTCTCTGCAACGGAGTCCTATTGTTTGCCAGAAAATGTTGCTTTGATTACACTTCAGGTACATGCCTTCTAAATTTTAGAACGTTTCGTGCATGCACCAATATTATTAATAAATAAAATAAAAATGAAAACTAAAGTGACGCAAAGTCTTCATAATACTAATTTCAAATGAATGTTTACATAGATACCACCTAATTCTTATGTATTTACATATCTTACAACTATACTTTGATTTTTTACATTACACCACCAAATATTTCTTATCAAAAACAAAATATCACCATTTTAACTTTTAAAAATTGAAATGCACCTTTTCATCCAATTGTAAGGTGGTATGTAAAAATTAAAGTTTTGGCGTTAGACATGTAAATACATAGGAATTGAGCGGTGTGTATGTAAATCTTTAGTGTTTCAATTATATCCTGGTGCACCATCCTTAAGAGCCAATGATTTCTATGTAACCCTTTTCATTTTTCAACCCGTTGTGCCCTTCTCGGTTTGGATTGTTTTTTTTAATGCATGCAAAATTTTGGGTAAAAATGCTATTAGAGGAATTTGCTTGTTAAAGCTGTTAGCATGTTAGGTCACAATTTTAATAGTGGTATTAATATTACTCTTTCTTTACTTGATGGTGGCTAGTTTCACCATTCCATTTAGTGGGATGTCCTATATTCAAAGACATGTTTTAATGTTTAGAGCCACTCGATCAACTCGTTTGGATCTATGTGACCATTAAAAACTTAATAAAAAAGAACTTTGCATGGATATTAGAAGGAAAAAAAAAGTTTCTTTAAGGAATTAGTAATTTCGGGAAACAAGCATATACTGGAGAATTTTTTTAAAAGCATTTTTTTAGAAAAAAATTTGGAAAGAAAAGTTTCTGAAGAAAAAAAGAAAGAAAAAACAAAATGAAGAAGAAGGAAAAATAAAAAGGTGAAATTTCATAGAACAAAAAAGGATAACTTTTTTAATTTTTTAATTTTATTTCATTTTTCTGGTGAACTTTTTTGGTTGGTTGTTTTTTTCTATTTTTTCAGGTATTCAGCTCGATAATTTTTTTAGAAAGATATTCCATTTGTTGAAATAATGAACAATAGCGTAATGTCAGATTCTTCAACTTCCACTATGACAATAGAAAGTCGATTCATCAAGGGGTTACGTATCCCGTCTAAATCAATGTGTTGAATGGCAAAGGGAACTTTGGCATGTGGCGATGCGAGGTAATGGATGCATTGTGTTCTCTAAATCTGGAGGAAGTCCTGAACAGTGAGGAATGTTCTAAGGAGATCTCAAATAGAGATATGTTGAAGATGAACCATAGTGCTTTTGGTTTGATCCAAAATTGTTTGGCTCGAGAGATCAAATATACGGGGTAATGATGGAGACTTACGCAGGAAAATTGTGGAAGATGTTGTAGAACAAATATCTCTCGAAGAGCGAGGAAAATCGTCTTCATATGAATTTTCGATTCTACAGCTTTCGGATGAGATGGCGGGTACTATTGATAAGCACTTGAATGACTCACAAAGCTATTTACAGATCTATTAAATTTGGATGAGGAGGTTGAAGATAAAGACAATGTGCTCCTTCTATTGGATTTGCTCCCATATGAGTACGAAAACTTTACTATAACACTCATTCATTGGAGCAATGGTTTTTATGTAGGGAGTTTGTCATCACAATATTTACTATCATTAGGATAGTATAGTGATTGGAACAGCTGCTATTGCTAATAAATCTTCTGACGCTATTTTGTTGCGGCACATGCAGCTAGCTCATAGTGAAAATGCTTCACTTCATGCTTTGATGAAGAAAGTATTGATCAAAGAAGCAAGCACATGCATACTTGATATCCGTGAACATTGTATATTTGACAAGGGACTGTCAGCCACAGTACAAAAGATATTTTAGAGTATGTTCACACGGATATTTGGTGCCCGACGAAAACAACATCATTTAGCAGGCGGAGTTGCTCCGTCTCTTTTATTGTTGATTACTCCAAGTATGTTTGGGCTTCATAACTTGGATAAAGTGGATTGAGATTCAGACAGTTAAAAAGGTCTGATGTATTAAATCAGACAATGAGGGTTAATACACTTCGAATGTGTTCTTGCAAAAGTGTCAGGGAGGTGGAATAAAGCATCACTTCACTGCTCGAGAAACACCGCAACATAACGGGGCGGTAGGGAGGATGTGTTGGACTTTGATGGAGAAAGTTTGATGCATGTTTTTCAATGTTGGGTTGGATAGAATCTATTGGGTCTGTATGACCATTAAATATGTTTGTCACTTGGTGAATTGTTCGCCTTCTGTAGCTATTGGGAAGAAGACCTAAAAAGGTGCATCTTGTTGGAGATTATGAGCATATGAGAGTATTTGGGTGTCCAGCTTACTACCACGTGGAGAATGCTAAACGGGAACCACGAGCAAAAAAGACAATCTTTATTGGCTTCAATCGTGGAGTTCAGGGCTTCAAGCTGTTTGATTGGTCATAAAGGAAGGTTCTCATTAGCAAGGATGTTATATTCGACGATGCAAGCTTGTTGAAAAATGAGGACTCAAAGCCGGTGGGGAGTTCTATTGGGACCACAGATATGCAACAGAAGTTGGAGTTTGATGTCACTCCATATTTTCCACAGGGTTCGTTCTCTCCAACTCAGATATTTGATTCGGTTGCAGCTCATTAGGTATTTATTGATAGTGCTAAGGAGGAGGTGGAAGATGCTGTTGATGAGATTCTTGCTCAGAAATCTATTGTTAAGAGCAGGAACTAATGTCAGAATGTCCCAAAATCAGCTTGGTTGAGAGATCATATTGCATTTGCATTTTCAGTCATTGTCACTATAAAGAAGCAGTAAGAGTCTAGGTTGTGATCATTGGAGAGCGGCAATAGATGAAGAGATGGAGTTTTTTCAGAAGAATTATACTTGAAGGTTGGTGAAGCTTCCTCCGGAAAGGAAAGCCATCGGATGTAAATGAGTATATATAAAGAATGAAGGATCTTATTTAGCTGATGTGTGGTATAATGCAAGATTAGTGACAAAAATTTTGCTAACGAGAAGGGATTGTTTATGACGAAGTGTTCTCCACAATGGTCAAACATCTCTCAATCTGTGTTCTCTTAGCACTTGTAGCACAGTACGATATGATCTTGGAACAACTCGATGTGAAAACTGCATTTCTTCACGGATAATTGCAAGAGGAGATTTGTGTTAGAGCCGCCTAGATATTAAGCATCAAAAGATTTGGTTTGCAAACTATACAAGTTTTTGTATGGGTTGAGCAATCATCACGGCAGTGGTTTAAAAAATTGGATCAGTTCATGAGGGAATAGGAGTACATTAGGGGCAGTATGATCCTTGTGCATATTTCAAGAAGTTGGCCAACAGTGAGTACATTTACTTGTCTTTATATGTTGATGATATGTTGATTGTATCTGCTAGTCATATTGAGATTGAGAGAATGAAGAATCTACTCTCCAAATATTTTGAACTGAATGAGTTGGGTGAAGCTTGCATAATTTTGGGCATGGAGATTCTCAGGGGCAAGAAAGTTGGAAAGGATTTGCTCGCCAGGAACTTTTTTTTTAAAAGGTGTTGAAGAATATTGGGGTTGATGACTCGAGAAATGCAGTAAGTCTAGCCATTGTATATCATTTTCAGTTGAGTTCAGATCAGTGTTCTAAAAATGCTCAGGAAAGGAAATACATGTGATCGAAACTCTACTTATTGATTTATCTTCAACGGAAGTTGAGTACACGAGAGACAATATGATCATTGTGCATATTTCAAGAAGTTGGCCGACAGTGAGTACATTTACTTGTCTCTAGATGTTAATGATATGTTGATTGTATCTGCTAGTCAGAAAATATTTTGAAATGAATGAGTTAGGTGAAGCTTGCAGAATTTTGGGCATCAAAATTCTCTGAGTCAAGAAAGCTAGAATGGATTTGCTTTTGCCAGGAACTCATTTTTGAAAAGTGTTAAATAAATTTGGGGTTGATGGCTTGAGAAAGGCAGTAAGTCTATCCATTACATCTCGCTTTCAGTTGAGTTCAGATCAGTGTTCTAAAAATGCTCAGGAAAGGAAATATATGTGATCGGAAGTCTACTTATTGATTTATCTTCAACGGAAGCTAAGTACATGACAGTCACAGAGATGATGAAGGAAGCAATATGGATGCAAGGCTTATTGGATGACTTGGGATTTGATCAGAAGTCTCTGACGGTGTCCTGTGATAGTTAGAGTGCAATATTCTTAGACACAAATCTAGTTCGTCATGCTCGTTCCAAGCACATTAATGTGATGTACTATTTTGTTCGGGACTTGATTAAAAAAGGCAAGATTCTGTTGAAGAAGATAGATACAAAGAGAAATCCAACGAACATGCTCATGAAGGTACTACCAATCCAAAAGTTTGTTTTTTGCAGGAGATTGGTGAACATTCGAGCTCATGACTGATTTCACAGTCTGGCATTTTGAAGAACTATGTGATGCTTGATCTCTTTTGGAGGGAGCCATGTAGGCAACCATCTTTGTGCAGCTAAATTGGAGTTTGGAGCTCATTTGGTCTTCTCTCACTTATCATGAAGGAAGAGATGATGTAGAAATTGTTGTTTTTATGGCTTTGTTTGCAGGGGTAATTTGGTCTTTTGACTTTATTTACTTGTATGCCCAAGTCCTCTATAAAAAGGGACTTAAGGACTTGTGCGAGTTATATGGTGAGACGTGAGAGTTGTAACCCCTAGCTTTTTTTTCTCCCATATGATGCTTGGAAATCTCTCTTCCCACGGACATAGGCGAATCAACTTAATGTCGAACTACCTAAATCTTTGTGTTTGATTGTTGTTGTGTGAATTTCTTTGTTTTCGAATTGTTTAGCATAACACATATCTTCATGGATTATATCTTGATTATAACCTACCTGTGAGTGCATAATGTTCTATTTAAAAAAAAAGTTATTGATTTATGTCAAACATTTTTTTTTTTCCGATAGCTTTATATGAAGTTTTACCTATAAAGGGCTTAATTCTAATAGTTTACTAAATACATAAATGGGGGGAAAATCAATCATGTTGTCCTGACGCCTATTCTGTTTTGATGAAATTTTTTATTAAAAACCGGTATATTCTCAAGCTATATTTAGCTTCCCAGGAGGTCACTCATCTTGGGAGTGCTCTTATACAAGCATGTTTAACTTTAGAGTTCCTGATGGAATTTGGACTATTACATCGAAAGATGCATCGATATTTAAGAGTTTGGCTCCATTCTATTTAAGAAGTTTTACAATTTCCCCCACTTAAGCAACTAATGTTTTCATCAAATGCTCTTAAGCTAGAATCATTCACTAGTCAGATATTCTTATTTTTACATTGTTGTCATGCTCTGATATTATTTGTAACAACTCAAACTCTCATCCATCGAGATATTGTTTGTTTTGGCCTAATGTCTCACGATTTTATCCCATAGATGTAACTGTCCAAGAGGTCTCCCATCTTGATAGTGCTAGTGTAAAAGCTCGTTATTCCTGATAAAATTCCAAACGTTACACAAAAAGACTCCTTTGATTTTTTTAAGAGTTTAGCTTCACTCATGAATAACACATGCACGCTGATGGCATACACCTTGTACTTTCCTCTGACAGGCGCTTGATGATGAAAGTGTTCTTCTTCGGTTGGCGCATCTCTATGAGGTAATTCAATCCACTTCATATTGGTGAATTTTTTATTTTTAAATTTAAAACTTGCCTTTTTGTTATATAAATATATATATATATATATATATATATGTATATATATATATATTGCTTTGTAGTGATAGATCTAAAAGCCGTGTTATTTTGAGATGGTGCAATATAAAGGTTGATCGATTTTTTTATAAATTGCAGTTCATATCCAAAATTTGGTTAAGAGGGGCATTGATCTGTAAATAGCAAGTTTTGTGTGATCTGTATGTAACTGCCCCTTTTTTTATTGCTGTTTGACAGCTTGACGAGGACAAGGATCTCTCAAAGATGGCCACTGTGGATCTTAGAAAGTTGTTCCCAGACAAAATGGTAAATATAAACTCCCAAATCATGCAAATATTTTCATAAACACTATATACCATATATCCTTCTTATTTTTATGCAAACATTGGATTTACATATCTGACACCTAAACTTTGATCTTTTACATTCTAACACTCAAAATTTTCTTTTATCATATCATGCAAATAGGTAAAAATTGTTTGTTGCATATGTAAATCTTCCAAACATTTAATTTCTCAGATAAGCAAGATTACAGAGACTAACCTATCAGCTAATCAAGAGAGATCTGAGATGGAAAAGAAGAGGCTGAAATGGAAAGTCAGAGGCACTTCCAGGTCTAAGTCAGTGGTGAGGGGAAGACCAGTTGATTCTTCAAAGCTCTTAGTAGAGCTAGGTCCAATGGAGATCCGTACTTTCTTATTAAATTTCCTTGATGCCCGCCGGCAAGTGGTCGACTGAGCTTAGTCTGCAATAGGATTCAATCGAGCGCCTTCGACTATATGTGCTTCGAATAAGAAACATTCTCGTGATAAATTATTAGGTGTGGAGTTCGTACGTAATTCTACGTGCAAATGACCAATAATAAGATGTGAGTAAACAGTTGTTATGTTGTACGTTATTTTGTATTGATCGTCTGTATGTAGAATTATGTATGGAATTTGTATGTAATAATTTATTTGACCTCATATTCAAGTGCGAGGGAACGGAGTTTGGCTTTGTTGTTATAATCATTTTCCATTAAAAAATAATCATGGGGGCTTTTTAAGTGGTACATGATCATATATTTTAAAATAAGGATAAGTCCAGGCCACTCGAAACATTGATATTTACAAATTAAGAACTCGCGTGATATAATATATATATATATATAATGAACATTGATATTTACAAATTAAGAACTCGCGTGATATTATTTTTTTTATTTTTATTTTTTATGATGAGAATTTGATAAATATGGGTTGGGGTTTTATCATGAATTTTGATATTTGAGGCATAATTTGAAGAATGAATGAAAGAGGGGGGTTGATTTGTAAATGGCAAGTTTCAGGTGGTCTTTTGTGTCACTGCCTTAAAATTTTGCTTGAAGTTTAATCAACTCAATATATGTTATATAATCATGCATATGCATAGATAGTGATATTGACCATTTAAGTCAAATATTTCATTAAATATTTTCAACAAGAAATCATTTTTATTTAATAGATGCTATAATTATTTTATTTAATAATATATTTTTTTGTTTAATTGGTGATATTTGAGAGCTGTTTTTGTATATTTAAACAGCTAGAACTTCTATTAAAACATGACATAGAAAGAGAGATTTTTCAAAACAATTGGACTGACCAAATGTGTGACCTGAGGTTAGATTTGAAATTAGATTAGTCATACATAACACCCAAAATATTGATATTTACAAATCTAGCTCTCTTTCATTCATTTTCGAACTTCACTTGAATTTCAAATTCATGATTAAATTCTAATATTTTTTTTTTCATTTTTTATCAAATTCTTAATGAATTGATTGTGATGTTCTTAAATATATCGGCTTGGTAGTTCAAAAATAGCACATGAGAGTTAGATTTTATAAATAGTAATGTTTCTGGGGCTATGTATATAATTATCACATTATAATAATATTACTAATAATAGCATAATATGGATGTTGTTGCAACATTTTTAAAAGAGGCATTGGCTCGACTCTGGTGGCATTTCTTATCTAAACAGGATAGAAGAGTGATCGTTAGGCTTTTACTTTTATTGCATGATTGTAAGTGACATAAATGTTCTTTTCACAAAGAGTGAAAAATAATGCTACAAAACCCTTTTTGTCTCTGAGTCAAGTATTCCAATGAGTCTTAACGCAAATGCTTTGGTAGACTCCATGAGGATGTTATGTGCAGCACTCCTTAGGGCTATTAACGATTCGATTTGGAGCCGAGTTGATTTAATAGATGCTATAATTATTTTATTTAATAATACTTTTTTTTTGTGTTTAATTGGTGATATTTGAGAGCTGTTTTTGTATATTTAAACAGCTAGAACTTCTATTAAAACATGACATAGAAAGAGAGATTTTTCAAAACAATTGGACTGACCAAATGTGTGACCTGAGGTTAGATTTGAAATTAGATTAGTCATACATAACACCCAAAATATTGATATTTACAAATCTAGCTCTCTTTCATTCATTTTCGAACTTCACTTGAATTTCAAATTCATGATTAAATTCTAATATTTTTTTTTCATTTTTTATCAAATTCTTAATGAATTGATTGTGATGTTTTTAAATATATCGGCTTGGTAGTTCAAAAATAGCACATGAGAGTTGGATTTTATAAATAGTAATGTGTCTGGTGCTATGTATATAATTATCACATTATAATAATATGACTAATAATAGCATAATATGGATGTTGCAACATTTTAGAAGATGCAATGGCTTGACTCTGGTGGCATTCCTTATCTAGACAGGATAGAAGAGTGATCGTTAGGCTTCTACTTTTATTGCATGATTGTAACATAAAAGTTCTTTTCACAAAGAGTGAAAAATAATTCTACAAAACCCTTTTTGTCTCAGAGTCAAGGATTCAAATGAGTCTTATGGCAAGTGCTTTGGTAGACTCCATGAGGCTGTTATGTGCAACACTCCTTGGGGCTATTAACGATTTGATTTCGAGCCGAGTTAGGCTCGACTCGAATAGATTTAGTGTAGGTTGAAAT